AACACGCTCTGAGTGAGATAAGTTTAGCGTGTTTCACCCACAAATGGAGTTTAAGTCAGTTCATTACGTATCAAACACTTTGGATCATTTCACGGTTTCATTCAATAAAAAGACTTTTACATTTCTTCGTGTACTTCAACACTTCCTGCTTTCAACATGAAATGCAACTTCTGTTTTTTTTTTAAAGACTTGACAGCCCACCAGCCTCTGGTTCCTCTCCTACTACTTCCTGATCTCCTTCTAACATCTGATTGGTCATGGCGTACCACAGCTTCCTGCTGGAACCAATTAGCTGCCATGCCTGGAACAAAGATCGATCCCGTAAGTCTGCCCGCCCTCTCTGATTGGTCACTCTTTTGCTCTTCAGTGACTTCCAGTGGTCTCATCTTTGAGCTGAGCACAACATCATGGGTGCATATTGCTCTGACTACAGTCTGTGACAGATGGTGTAATAGCCCAAGGTTTGCGACTGGCTCCCAGGTGGGAGAAGGTATTTCCTGTTTCCTGTAACAGTGGCGGCGGCGTCTGTAGGCCTCTCTGAGTGGTTCTTACACTCCGTTAGCTGGAGGAAACCAGAGCCTTATATGGATGTTTTTCATCAGTGCTTTGGTTTCTGGGCAAAGCGGATGTAAGAGACGCTTTAACCAGGCTGTTCGAGTTTCACTCAGGTTTGCAAAATGAACAGTTTAGTCATTCTGTGAAAAAAAAAAATGCACACCGAAGTAAGCCACACTGCTGTTCTAGGACAAACACTGCTTCACTGACTCATCTGCTGACTAAAACATGCAGCCTTTGCTACAACGTTACAAAAAACAAAGGTCGCAGGTCTTGTGCGCCTTCTATTTAAAGATGCTGTGTGTCTGTGTGCTGCCTCCAGGCTCATACATATAGTGTTTTTTTTTTTTATTTCTCTCTTCTCATGTGCCCACTCAGCTCTTCTGTGTTATTCCCCACTGAGCAGCCCGCTGTAAAGCTTCTCATGTCAGTCACGCTGTACTTTGTCCATGATGAATATTGTGTTCGTACGGTTGACCATCTGTGCTGATATGGTTTGAAACACAAACTTCTTTGTTTCCGCCACAGAGATTGCCCTGTGTCCCAACAACCACGAGGTCCACATCTATAAGAAAGATGGGACCAAGTGGACCAAAATCCATGAGCTGAAGGAACACAACGGGCAGGTGACAGGTGAGACACAGCAACAATAAAACTAGTTAGGGACTTTCTGACATTGCCTTATTTCCCAAAGGGTCGGATCCGCATGTTTGTTTGGTCTTGGAAGCAGCACTGGCTTGAGACCAACTGAAGTTTGGTTTGCATGTAAGACGAACGTGTTAACCCCTAAACCTCAGAGCCACTACTCAAGTTCACCAATTCTGAAAGTGAAAATACAAGATTTTGTAGAATACTTTAGGTTTTTCTGTGACATCGAGCACAAGTTTCCATCATTTTTTGGGATCTGCCTAAATCGATATCAAGGAAACGGCCATCCAGCTTTCCAGTATTGCTAAATCTGTGGTTTCCTTATCCAGTGGTACAAAATAAATCAAGCTGTAGGAACATTTCCCTACCTCTATGTGATTATTAATGCTCATATTGCTTAATGTCAAGCATCAGATCAGCCATTCCCAAAGTCAAGAGTGCTGCGGCCTCCTTAAAAACCAGGAAATACCACAATCTTTAATCTTTAGTCTAATCAAAATACAAGAGGAAGTGATGTACTTCCTTGAAAATTTTATTCAAAAAACACAAAGAACACAGGCTGTTGTCTATAAATTGCTAATGCTACCCAGTCATATAGAAAGCATTTAGGCTAATGTGTGACCCACCTGCTACTGGAACACAAACTTCAAAACAAGAGCAGATAAATATATATAAATGTACATACTTGTGAGTAATTTTTACGTGAATTTCTGGTGTAACTGCAGCCCACCTGCAGTACCTCCACACTCCACCAGGGGCGACTTAGATTAGCAGAGGTGACAGCTAGCACATAGCTACCAGCTAACACCTGCCCCTATCAAAGTGCCCATGCCCATAATAATGGATTACTTTAAGCTTTAACACAAACTAAGTAAGTGAGTTATATGAAAGGTGCGGCTCAATACTTTTGTTGTAGTGTATGCTCCTTCTACTGAGACTTCACTGGTTTCACAATTTCCTGTCATTGTCTTAAGCTACTCTAATCAGCTGCTGGCTATGTAGATTGCCAGTAAGTATAAAGACATCAAAGTAGATCCCAGTCACTGCACAGTTACTTTTATCTCTTTGAAGATAAAGAAAAAAGACTCTATAGATTTTTAGCCAATTATTTATTTTGGATGCATTTGAGACGTTGATAATAGCAGAGCTCTTCTTCCTTTTCTGCCTATTTGATGTAATATAGAGAAGTGAGTGGAAATGTGTTCCTGAGAGTTTTTAAAAAAAAAATCTCGCAGGTATCGATTGGGCTCCGGAAAGTAATCGCATAGTTACCTGTGGCGCGGACCGTAACGCCTACGTGTGGACCCTGAAAGAGGGAACGTGGAAGCCCACCCTGGTCATCCTCAGGATCAACCGTGCCGCTCGCTGTGTGAAATGGTCACCTAAAGAGAACAAATTTGCTGTTGGCAGCGGCTCTCGTCTCATCTCCGTCTGCTATTTTGAGCAGGAAAACGACTGGTGAGCGAATTCACTAATATACGCAGAAAGCTTTATTTGAATACTAAGAAGCGTCCTTGGAGAGAGTTTAGCAACCATCTCTTGTTATCTGCAGGTGGGTGTGTAAGCACATTAAGAAGCCGATCCGCTCTACAATCCTGAGTTTGGACTGGCACCCCAACAACGCCCTGCTGGCTGCTGGATCCTGCGATTTCAAATGCAGGTATGTCACAGACAGACTTAGCTTTCAGCTTTATTAAAATTAAAGCTTCGTGTGCAGCCTAACACTGACGCTACTCCTAGATATATAAAAAAGGAAAATCCTCATACAGTCCATGATATATGGCATGTGGGTTTCAAAATAACAATATATCTCCACCCTCACTCTCACAGAGTGTTTTCAGCCTACATAAAGGAGGTGGAGGAGAAGCCTGGGCCCACTCCCTGGGGTAGCAAGATGCCCTTTGGGGAGTTGCTCTTTGAGTCCGGAGGGTCTCCAGCAGCAGCTCAGACTTCAGGAGGAAGCGGCGGCTGGGTGCACAGCGTGTGCTTCTCACACTCTGGCAACCGCCTGGCCTGGACCTCCCATGACTCAACTCTTTGTGTGTCCGAGGGCGGCAAGAACGGCACGTAAGTGAAGGCAGAGCAGTGTAGCTGGGCGTGTTGTATGTTTACATTGCTTTGTGTGCTCCACTCTGACTTTTTGCTACAACTTCCACAGGTTGACCAGTCTCAGCTCGGAGACACTTCCTCTGCTGTGTGTCACCTTCATTACTGAGAACAGCTTGGTAGCAGCTGTGAGTATTCATTTATTCAGCACACACAACAGTTCCTTTAATTTAATTTAAAGTAATTTTATAATTTTATATCCCAAACTTTTCTGGCCCAGTGTCTCCATATAAATAATGTAAATAAATGAATAAATAGCGCTTTCTGGCTACAGCCAGAAAGCGCTATTTATTCTAGCATCCAGAATAACAAACAAGAGTCTAGTCTCTCATATTTCCAACCTGATATTGTAATATCTTCTTTTGTATGTCTTTTCCTCCAGGGCCATGATTGTTACCCGGTGCTGTTTGTGTATGACGGTGCCAAAGGCAGCTTGACATTTGGTGGCAAACTGGATGTTCCTAAGCAGGCGGCCCAAAAGGGCATCAGCGCCAGGGAGCGCTTTCAGAACCTGGACCGTCGAGCCTCGGAGACCCAGAACACCGACAAGGACCTGAACACTCTCCACAAGAACAGCATCAGGTCAGGAGAAAACAAATGCTTCGTATCCATGAAAATTAAAACCCCCAAAAAGCGAGTGGTGATGTGTGGTTGGGTATGAGAGGGGATTTGGTTAAAGTGATATTTTTTTTTAAATACAGCTATGAAAACCCTAAAACAAATGATATGTTACTACTTGGCTTTCTCACGTCTCAAACAATATTTCAGCCAAATCTCTGTGCTGGAAGGAGGAAGAAACCAGTGCACCAAATTCTGCACCACTGGTATGGATGGAGGAATGGGCATTTGGGATGTCAAGGTAACACACAGACAGACACAGACGTGCAGGATTGCCAGGTATTGACTACCACAGTGATTTCACATGTCTGTCAATGTCTTTTCAGTCTCTGGAGTCTGCCATGAAGGACTTGAAGATAGTCTAAACTGAAGTTTACATTTCTCCGACCAAAGTTGCTCCCGGAGTTATGGAGAAAAACTGCTGCCTTATTACCCAAAGCTTCTTGGCCTTATTTTAATCAGGTATATTTTTTATATATGCAGGTTCAACGAGCAGACTTCAGTTCAAACAGTGTTTGCGATCTCTCTGAAGCTTTATGCTGAGCTTGTTACATTCAGTGCTGTATACAGAGGGACTGACCACATGTCTGCAAACGGTACTTAATGACTTAGATTAGAGCTCAGCCTGAGCTGACTGCTTAAAGCAGGCATTTTCTATTAATCAGAATGAAATGCTGCAATAATTGTTAAACGCTTATGCTGGTCATAATATGCATTTAATAAAAGATTACTGTTAAAGTGCTCAGTAGAATCTGGTTCGTGTGTGTGTGTGTGTTTACGTCTGTTTAAATCTGGATTAAGGACTTTGAACCTTTCAGCTCATTGTTTATTTGTCTGTACAGATGGACAACTTAAGTTCAAAGTTCGAACACTTACAGTTTTAACTGAGAAAAGTTGCTGTCTCGTGTGACGCAGATGAGATAATTTTTTTCTAACCTGGGGAAAAGCTAATATTTTGTATAAAAACAATGTTGTAATGTAATATATTATTCCATTTTTATAAAATTTACATCCTAAAACGTACTGGTTAGATAACATAATGCTTAAAATTAACGAACACAAGTTTGAAAAACCCGCCATGAGTACAAAACAGCAATTTTACAACTTCTTGGTGTTATATATCAGACAGTTTGGCGATGCCCTGCTATACTCACGTTTCATTAAAGCAATCAATTCGTTAACCTCTTCAGACCAAATGTCTTATCTCACCGAGTCTTTCAGTTAAAGCGAACAGCAAGAATTCCTGTTGCTGCTGTCGTGCCTGTAAACTGTAGGTCGAATCAGGTGGACAGAAACGTGGGATTATTACATCTGTAATGTTGAGTTTACCCATCCCTACTACTTTCAAACCCCACTGTCTAAGAGTAATGAACATTTGTATGTGAGACACAGGATCAACATGACTCCACATACTCCTGTATTCAGTCCCGGTTCTTTAAAAGCACTGATGGGTTTTCAGCCAAATGCACATCTCCTCATCCACTGCAGTGTCTCACGTGATAGATCGATGCTATTAGATTGTTAATACAGGTACAATACTGTCTAAGCTGTTGCCGTTGTAGCTGCTCATCGATTGATGGGAAAACATCCTGCTGCACAAACTTACAAGTGTGTTTTGGTCTTGTTGATGTTTAAAAAAAATCGAATCAAATACTTTTTTATCTTCCTCTATAGTGCTCAAACTCTTAATTTTTTTTAAATTAACTGTGACATGAAACTCCCAGGTGTCAGCAGTGAATATTTAGCAATTAACCATACAATATATATTTATAATTAATAGTTTTCCAATAGATCAGGTGGAACAAAAAGTATCCCTCTGAGTAAAATAAAAAAAGCCAAAAACAGAGGACACCTATCAGCTATCAGACCTCCTGCCTTTTCCTAAGTTCAAGCGACCTGCCAAGGTCAGGTTTGAAATGATAAAATAGTCAAGACTGAAGCATCAAAGGGGGAGATATTCTGACCTGTAATGTATGTAAGGGGCTGCCAGTAAATAAATAGATAACTGAAAAACGTGTCAGTGTGAGGAGCTATTTCTGCCCCACTTGGTTCCTGTAGCATATCTCATTAATTCCCCCACAGAAACAGAAAATTACATAAATGAGATGTTTTTATAATTACATTCAGATTTTGTAATTAAAATCTTGTATATTCAAGATATCTGGTTCTTTATTAAAAAGCGACAGTCCACATATTAGCAGCAAAAGTCTCTATGTGTCTTAAGGAACACTGAAGACCCAGCCAGATGACATCACAGTGACGTCACGGGGTTATATTGTTCATACCTGGTAAAACGCCGCGCAGACTAGGAGCCGTAGCTGAGTGTCACTTTAAATAATCCTTCTCTGACTCGATAATTAGATGCGTTAACGTCGTCGCCTTATTACATAATACCAGTCCCTGAGAGCGCGCCTGCGCCTCCACCTAGAGACCAAAGCAGGAACTGCAGGCACGACTTGCCTCTGAATCAGCCCCTCATCACAGAATGATGTGGCAGCCTTCAGTGATGAAGAACAGCCCCCCTCACCGAGTCGTGATGAGGTGAACCGGCGGGGAGAGAGAGAGAAAGACAGAGAGAGAGAAAGAGCGAGCAAGCATCAGCACCGACTGAGACTCATCCCCTCGTCCCCCCACTGACGCCCACACTTCCGGACTGGACCCTCTGGAGGCGGCTGGGTCGGGATGCATGCGTCTCCCAGTGCTGCTTGAGATGTGGATAAGACGACGACGGTGAAAAGGCGACGTGCTCGTTACCTTCCATTAAACCTCCTCGCTGCAGATCTGAACGCTGAACTAATCAATTATCGGCGGCCAACTCGCCCATCACTCACAGGGGGATTCAGGCTTTGGCCACACTGTCTGTCTGCCGTCAACTGTTGCCTATTTCCTCTGTAAATGAATCTTGTAAGGTGGGTGAGCTCATTCAATATACGGTTAGAGACTGGAGATGAACAGAAAGGCTGCTTTTTGGTAGTGATGATGATGAGGTCCAGGATGCTCATTGGGAACCAGCTGTAAATAACTATTTTCTGCATGTCTCATAATTAGTGATGTATCTTTTTCAAATTTCTATATTCAAGCTTAGGATTTCTTTTATTTCTTATTTTATTTTAAGAAAACACACAACCTGCCACTTCCCCCTCCTCTTCATCTTGCTACTTCTTCCTTTTTCCTCTTTCCCTGTGATCTTTGTGACACAGAGGAAAAGCCACCCCCTCCTCTTCCTCAGCCTTTTCAACTTTATTTAATATCTGGCACACAGAAGCCAACTGGATCTAGGCTGAGGCTGTCCCGAGGACAAACGAAGTAGACCAATGTTGCAACTCAGAATTATTTTCATTCTCAGCTCATGCTCTGCTAATCTGCTGACTGCTTTTATGCTATGAATCAGCTGATCATCTGTTCTGTTCGCTGTCCATTACAACTTCCACACTCTGAGTTATATGTTTAGTGGTCTTGTTTTTAGCTCCAAACCCAACCAAACTGAATTGATGTTAAAAAAAATGCTTCCAACATAGAGTCATAGGTATATATAGAGAGATACTTTATTATTATTATTATTTGCTTCAAAAAATAGGCCAACTGAGGCAATTGTGGGAGTAGTATTTGTTCCATCTCGGGAGCAGAGACTGTAATTCCCACAGCTCACACATGAAGTCATGTGTGCCACATTATGGGCTGAGGCGAAATTATCATGCTGCTTCTTTTAATCAGATATGATGTCAGTTGTCTTTTATGAGTACATCACAGCTAAATATATTTTTTAGCTGCTTCACAATGCAGGGCACTTTAAGGAAGCGTGTGGTGGTTACTTTTGTTATGTAACATTTCTAGATTCATTTATTCATTCAAGCGCTGTCGAACATGTACCCGTCACAACTTCCTGCCACAGGACCCGGGCTGGCTTTTTCTAAGGAAACACCAAAACGATTAAATGATTCAATCAAGACGTCAGAGGAGCCTTAACAAAAAAAACCCAGAATGAAATTTCCAGTGGTTTATCTTCACAGCTGTGACTAACTGCAGCTTCTCTATGTTGTGTATCAGTTTAAAAAAGAAATGTTTTTGGCCTTTGGATGTATTAGCGTGACAAGACGGGGGGTAATCTCAAAAGTTTTGAAATAGCTGATAGATCATATTTTCCCAGCTTTTTGCAGTTAGGTTTACTAGGATATATAGCTTAAATGATCAGATTTAAATCACCATTGTGGTTCTTTAATCTATATACTGTCTAATTTAATCCAAGACCTGTTTGATTTACAGTGCTATAACAAAGAAAAACAGTTATATGGCAACTGTTTTCAGCAGTGTGTGGATGTTAACTTTATTATAGATATACATGATAGCACAAAGACCTATGAAGTAAAGCAGTGTTAATTCATGTCCGGTGTTAACTGGACCGAGGTCTTCACGGTTCATTTAGACCACAGAGACGCAGAGATGTCACGGGGTTTCCACAGCTCTGCTCTGCCCCATGAGTGTGTCCCTCTGCCTGGCCTCTGGCCTGCTAATTATCAGCCAGCTTGATAAAGTCATTAATGACCTGACCAGGCCTGCTGGGCCTGGCACTGACACACACTTGTATGTGTGCGCACTACAGAGAGTAAGCCAGACAGTGTGAGGCCAGTGTTGGATACAGGGTGGGGAAGTCTTTTATTTGGGACAAGACGGTGTTTCTGGGCTGGGCCGGTTAGTATTAATAGCTCCTAATGAGTGTCACTCTGAAAAACAAAGCAGCAAATGGAGGAGAAAGGGAAGTGAAAGGTGCTGCCATCCTTTTTACATCATCTTTCTTTAGTTCTCCTTGTGTATATATGTTCATGAAGGATCATGAATGTCTTATCAGCATTTTGACAACAACCATGCATATACCCACAGCTGTGATATTCCTCTTTTTAGATTATTTAGAAGTATTGTTTCTGCAGCCGCATGCATGCACAGCTCCTCAGATAGACAGCATAATTAGCTGTTGGGGGCATTTCATAAAAACAAATGGATTCTTTGAGGTTCTGAGCGGTATTCCCTTTCCTTCTTTTTCATGTCTTACGACTTACAACATGTGGATGTGCACATGCTTACATTTTGTGTGTCTGCAAAGACGTCATTTGCCTTCCCTGCATGTTAATTTCATCATTGGGAAGCAGAGAGGAGCCATGGTGGGGGAACGGGAGAGGGAGGAGGAAAGAGAGGCGAAGAAAGAAAGATGAAAGCAGCGAGGAGTTTTCTATTGTAGGGAAGAGGGGAGGACAATCCCTGCCTGTGGTTTCCATGACAACAGTGACATCACTGTCAGGGTGCTACCTCCTGAACTGTTTGAGTTTCTGTACTGAGTGTTCGCAATCAAACGAACAGATCGGAGTGTGCGTGTGTATGTGAGAAAATGTGGGCATGGTTGTATGTGTGAGCCGTTTCTGAAAGAGATCAAACCTCTGCTTCAGTCGCTCTGTGGCTACCCACTGTTGCCAGGCAACGGCAGTCATGGTAACAAGTTGAAGCATGTAGTAGCGTTGCTAAGCGAAACAAGAGGGTGGGGTGGATTGTTAGCATTGAGATACAAGTGGGTTTAAATATCATACACAGTAAATATGGTCTGCAGCTTAATTCTACAAAGTCCTATTAAAGTGGACCCATTACTCTTGTTATATAAATTCTGTTGCAATGCCAGATGCTCATTACAAACATGGACAAAGCCTCAAATAATTACATTAGTGTATGTACAACAAATGTTGGCCAATAGCTCAGGCTTCAGACTGATTTTTTTTACCCTTGATTTTGTATCATGTCAGTGAGAGTAGATAACCTAATTTGATCATCCTGACGCACTCCCAGGCTTGGCTGTTAGACTCAAAGCCCCGCCCACCTGTTGTTCAAACCTTGTGAGGAGCAGTCAATTAGAAAACAGTTGGCGTAAAGCGAGAACAGCTTGTTTCAGTCAAAGGATGAGTTAAGTGTAAGGAAAAAAGGAACATATTGAAATATGGATTATGCAAAGAGTCCAATTTTATTTTATTTTTTTAAACTGACCTTTAAGCAAGCAACATGTGCTCCATAAACCCCAGTAACATCCGAGGTATATTTCAAAACAACACCTAACAGCTTAAACTGAAATACCCATTTCTATAGAATACATATTTCATTAAATATTGCCATAAATTCAGACTGAGAATTTTTTGGAGTGTGTGTGTGAAATTTTTTTAATGCCAAATTACATGTACTGTTTCTGTTATATTATTTATAAAGGAAAGAGTAAAGTTAATGAGTAAATAATTACAAAACAGCAATATTGCTTAAAATTCAAATTTTGCATATTTGCATAAATGACCACTAAGTCTGAACAGATCCATTTGTATGATGGAGACCTTTGGCTTCGGTTAATGAGCGACCCAGTTTGTATGTATTTTTAAGTGTAGATGTTAAGATGATGAAGCATTTAAAATAGCAAATGTGAAATGTGTCATTTGCATAAATGCTGCTGCCTGTAATAAAAAGAAAGGTAGCACTTTATAGTACAGCTCAGTAATAACATGATAATAGTGGTGTAATAATCAAAAATTTGTAACGCACAGTTAAAAAAACTGTCCAAAGAGCTGCACAAAACAATAAAAACTTCAAAAATAATAGTACAAGATCACAAATTTAAATGTGCCCACAATACAAAATAACCACCACCAGTTTCAGATTATGAACCCAAGAATACCATGAAATACAGCTATGTTTTCAGATTTAAAGACGGCAATAATTGGAGCACTTGCAATGAACACAGGAAGCTGGTTCCACGATGATGGATGCAACTGAGAAAGTCCTTCCATCTGTTTGAGCCCAGAACAGAGAACACGAAGTCAGAGCTTGTCACTATATCTAAGAAAAGAGGGATTGTGTGAAGGTAAATAAGAGAAATCATATAGGTGAGTGCCTGACCAGTGAGAGCTTTAAAAACTATTTATACATCTTGAATTTAATTCTTAAATGGAAAGGGACAAAATGTAGTGAAGCCATTATGGGAATGATATGATCTAATTTCTTAGCACCAGTTAAGTCTAGATGCAGCATTTTGAAGTAACTGGAGGCAAGATAGAAACTTCTAAAGGAGACCACAATACAGCAAATTATAACAACAGGCAACAGGCTTGAATTACTTTTTCTGTGTAAGGATTAAATAGAAAATATTTGAAATATTTGACGATAAAGCTCTGTTTTGACAACAGATGACAATTTGTTTGTTAAAACGTAGCTCAGGATCCAGATTCTTCACATGAGACTTAACACAGAGAGAGAGGGGACACAGTTTATAAGGAAGAGAAAAAGAACCTCCCAATTTATAGGAACTAAGAATGAATGAATTAGCTCTTGATTTCCATTAAGGATTCAAGAAGAGGAGTTATAGAGCCAGGAAAAGTGAACCCAAAACAGACACTTGGGGGACTCCGTAAAGAACAGGAGTGAACTCAGGAGACAGGAAAGGAAGGCTCTGTGTTTAAGATGGGAATTAAATTGTTTCAAAGCTATAACTTTAATACCTGGCTTTAAATCCAGACTGGACAGGTCCCAGAAGGCCAGTGGAATTTAAAAAGAGTAATAACTGGGAGCAAACTACCTTGCTGTGTGAAAAAGGAGATAATAACCACATAATACTAACCTTCATGCATATAATTAGAAGATAATATACAATAGCCTATTGATGAGCAATGGGAAATTATCATTTTAATACACACAGGTTATCAAACTGTTAACAACATTTTACTGTGTTGTCACTAACTGGAATTATCACCACATCATTACCACCCTAGTTATTACACTATTATATAAATTTCAGCTAAGTATTGCACAGTAAAATTGTTAATAAATGTGATCATTTGCAGGTATATGAACAATCGTGTTCCTCCTAACAAGAGATACCAGCCCACCGAATATGAGCATGCTGCCAATTGTGCCACGCATGCGGTAAATGTGCATACACACACACACACACACACACACACACACACACACACACACACACACACACAGAAAGTGATCATTAAACCCAGTGAAAATAAGAAAAATCATCATTACATAACATCAGCAGCATCATGCTCGTGTTTACAGTCAGTCCTGCCTGCCTGCCTCTTTGTGCCTCATGTTTCATTTATGCTATGAATTCATTTAGTTGTGGATAATCCCCAGCCTGCTGGGAAGCTCAGTGTTGCACTTCCAGTCAGAGGACCAATGGGAGCGGCTGTCAGCCTGGGTGTATGGGGCGGGGCTCAGCTCACTCTTCATCATCTCCACCCTCTTCCACACTGTGGCCTGGAAGAAGAGCCACTTACGGTATATACTTATATACACACACCCACATATATACATTGTAGCACAATATCTGTGATGCATTGGATTATTTTAAATATATCATTTTTAATAATGATGTTTCATATCTAAACAGTGTCACTGAGTCGTTTCTGAGCTGTTTCTGCTCCCTCTTCAGGTCTGTGGAGCAGTGTTTTCACATGTGTGACAGGATGGTGATCTATTTCTTCATCGCTGCTTCCTACGCCCCTTGGTAAACAAACTAGCCTGCTAGGCGTGTGTGGGTGTGTGTAAACTGTATATATAAGTAAGTACATTATTCAAATTTTATTTATATAGCTCATTTCAACACTTGTGGTACAAGGGGCTCTGAATATGAATAAACACACAAAAGATGATTAAAATCAACATAACAGCAACAGACATAACACAGAACCCCCAACAACCACCACCACCTGCACATATTACAGATAGCAAATAGTGTTTCCAATAACTGGCACTCAGAGAGTGTTTGTTGAGCTAACTGCAAGGAAACTAATCCTCAGTCTGGGTCCGTTGTGAGAAAATCTATGCACCCTCCTGTTGTCAGTCATGATTAAGTTACATAGACTGTAAATAAAAGATGACATTATTATTATCTCCCCCCCCCCTTCTTTTCTTTTTAATCAAATGTGACAAGCAAGTGGATCTGACTTAAAATTGGTGTTAACGGTGAAAACTGCTCTACGCGGTTTACAAAGCGTCCATTAGTTCTGATTGGATTTCATGTCATCAGAAGATTTTCATTTTCATCTCATTTTTATTTGGAGGCAAAAGTGTCAATACGTTTTAGCCTGGTTTTTGTCCTGTTTTGTGTTTCTGTTTTGTTTAGTTATTATCTTGTTTTTATAAGGGTGGCTGTAGCTCAGGCGGTAGAGCAGGTCATCTACTGATCGGAAGGTTGGTGGTTCGATTCCTGGCTTCCCCTAGTCTGCATGCCAAATATCCTTGGGCAAGATACTAACCCCAAATTGCTCTCCGATGCATCCATCGGAGTATGAGTGTGTGAATGCTACTTAGAAAGCACTAAGAAACAATGTGCTTGGGTGAATGCACAAGTTGTGTAAAGCGCTTTGAGTGCTCAGAAGAGTAGAAAAGCGCTATATAAGATCCATTTACCATAAGAAAAAAAAGGTTGGTGGTGAAAATTATTGGTCAGCGAAATTAACACTGCAAACTTAGGATCTTATCAGTGACAAGTTAGCCAAAGCATATCCTGTTTTATGAGCTGATTGGAATAATAGTTTAAAAAATAAACATCATGCTGTATTTTAAAAGATCTGCAATTAGAAGATGAATCCATGAGATTTCGTCATGCATTGTCAAAGGTATGTGCCTTTTTTGACGTGACGCTGTGCGCCACGTTATTGTTTACATGACATTAATTTCTAAAATAGTGGATATAGACAAACTACCATTGCTGTTACTCTGACTATCTGCAGTTTTACTGCAGTTTTACGTGTGTATATGTAAGTATACACACGTAAAACAGCAATTACTGTCCCTCCATTTAGAAAGACAGAGGCGTTCGAAGTTCACTCGGGCGCCTCTACATTCAACACAGACACTGTCACAACCCAAATCCCAACGTCGGTTTTGAATAAATTTACTTTTTTGAAAAATTTTAATTTATGTACGCTATATGCATTTTGTTCATTCCTAAGTTGTGATTCTATACCAATCAAAATACTGTCTTTAGTAATTAACATTTGAAATGCTGAAGGCGTTTCAAAATTAGCTGCTTTTCCAGCAAAACAAAAACTTTACTGAAGTACTTAAGGTTTTGTAAGGGTACAAAACCCTGTTTAGTCTTTCCCTCCCTTTTACTTTTAGCGTTTACATGTGGACAGAGATATTTTTTCAAAACTGCACGTGTAGATGGCATTTTTTTTTGATTGATTGATTGATTGATTGATTGATTGATTGATTGATTGATTGATTGATTGATTGATTGATTGATTGATTATTTAAACAGGCTAAACCTGCGAGAGCTGGGTCCCTGGGCGTGTCACATGCGCTGGTTAGTTTGGGTCATGGCGTCTTTTGGAACCACCTACGTCTTCTTCTTCCATGAGAGGTCTGCTCACATATTTATTTTCTTAGTATGTCAAATATTTAAACTTCTTTTAAAATTGATTAAGCTTTTTCCAAGCTGTTATTAAGATTGCCTAACTTTACGCTCAGTAACACCCATGCTCAGTAACCCATTGCTGTCGTAGGTATAAGCTCATGGAGTTGATCTGCTACACAGTGATGGGAGTTTTTCCTGCCCTGGTCATCCTCTCAATGGTGAGGCCACTCACATTTTCTGCTGCTTGATTGGGTTTAAAATGACCCATTAAACAGTTTAAAAATAATAAACTTAATGCCTCTTCTCAGCCGGAGCAGTCCGGGTTGTGTGAGCTGCTGGTCGGCGGGGCCTGCTACTGTTTGGGGATAGTCTTCTTCAAAAGTGACGGCATTGTCCCATTCGCTCACGCTATTTGGCACATGTTTGTAGCTATGGGAGCAGCCATACATTACTACGCCATCTGGAAGTACCTCTACGCCCAGCCACCCAACCACCAGGTCCACACCTCCAGATGACATCAGCACTGACCTCACAGGAAGTAACTCCTGTTTTTGAGCGGATACGAGGGGCTGTCCACATTCAGGGGCTGCCTCATGTTGAAGGTGGGGGGATGGGGGTGGGGGGGGGTGGGGGTAAACATGCACTTATCAGTGTGACAGAAACCAAAACTAATGGTGCATTCAGGTCCCTCTCATCAGTTCGAAATGTCTAACATTTCCATGTTTATCACCAAAAAGTTGCCTTCAAGCAGCCAGTGAATGAATGGGTAAAACGGGTCCAAATCCAAATTAAATCTTTTGCATCGTCTTCACACTCCTACTTTTCTAAAAATAGCACCTTTAAAAAGCAATTTAAACTACTTTACTTTTTCTTTGAGGATAAAATAAAATCACATCAGTGTGCTGAAATAGCATAAAATAATGTAATGGAATACAGCACAGTGTGAAACACAAAGAAATACTTTAAGCCCTGTTTTAAGACAACAGTTAATTCATGCAGATCTTGCAATTTTGCTTTGTTTTGCAGGTACTTCTCCTTGTTTAGCTTTGAATCTGGGACAGGAAGTACAGCTGGCCTAGATAATGACTGATGGAGTCAAAGATGTGAGACCTTAATGTGACAGCTTTGATTCAGTCTGAGGCAAAGCCCAGGGTGGAAAATATTCATGAAACACTTCCCCGCTTCTTGGAAAACTCAGAAAAAAACTCATGTGTCTGTATCAGTATTTTATTCATTCAGATCTTCTGCCGTCTGAATTTTAGACAGAAAGTTAATCAACCCTTTTTAATTTAATTCTTACTAACCGATGACCAACTGAATCCAGTTACCTCCAGTGATGCAATACCTCCTGACGTTCTGAGCTGAGAGGGCAATTAAATGCACCATTTAGCGGTTAATTATCACGTTTGGTATACATGAAGGATAAATATGTTGAATCTGAACTTCAAGGCTGGCAGCTCCTGAACTGGGACCCCCCCCTCCCCAAGATCATTTTAGTTTTACACTTCTAACAGTATTTTCCAGGACTTTGGTTTCAGGGGTTAATCACTATTCTCGGAGATTTCTCTCTGTGTCGTGTGCGCCCAGATTTAGTGTGCAGAAGCGGAATTGAGGGCATTGTCTATTTGTCAAGAGGAAGATCACTATTAAAATTGGCAGACTCGACTCATGAGATTAATTTTAGTGTTTTTAGTTTGATTACACTAAGCAGGCTGCAACATCAGTAATTTACTATTCCCAATTCAGAGCTCTAGATAGTATTATTACTGCTATTGTTATTAGATGTGCTATCTACACCATAGTACTCTGTATGATTTTAACAATAGTTGCTTAAGTCGGTGACTTCCTGTGAAGTTTTTTAAACATGATCGTAGAGTTTTTTTCTTTTTTTAAGTTGAACACTCAGATATTTGTAGTTTTAGTCTTGGAGACTTTTACTCGTGTGCTTCCACATATACCAGTCGCCACACTTTCGATTTTTGAGCATAAACACTGAATCCTAATACTGTTGTCGATTAGGTTTAGTACGTGAAGCTACAGTATTTATCAGAGACATACAGTACATGCCGACTTCATCTATATTTTCTTCTGATCTTCTCGTTGTGTTACTCGATCATCTTCTCAGTCTTCATCCTAAACGAATGGAAAACAGCTGATAGCTACAACATGGTTGGAGCTCAAACCACTGTCTGATTCAGCACTGCCAGAAGACTTACTGCCGTTAACCGATAGCACACTACTACCATATATGTATGTTTCACACTTGAAAGGAAACTGAAGCTATAGTATTGTTGAACAATCTGGCCCGATAATAAAGGCATCTCAGGTGCGTGTGTGTGTGTGTGCTCGCGCGTGTGTGCTCGCGTGTGTGTGTTTGCCCAAGTGTTTGTGCCTGTGTGTATCCTATACTATCTGACTACCATGAATCCAAAGCCTCTAACTGGCTGAGTCTATGTTTACACGTGAATGCATGTACCTTGAACACATCAAAATATATCTGAAACATGTATGTATTCTTAGCGTCGAGTTGTACGTGCTGCTTCGTGGTTTAAAGGACGAAGCAGAGTGTGATTAATGTGGCGAGAGGATTTTAAAAGGTCGAAGCAGCTGGTATTTAAGGGTTGTCAAAAAAAACTTTTTCATTATAGTTTCACTGCAGTATGTCGGATCATCTGGGCTTAAAAGTCCAAGGAAGCCACATTAAAAAGGACCGCTGCAGCTGCTATGGTTGTTTGCAGCTCTAAGCAAATAAATGCAAAGCTGTTTTTATTTATTTATTTATTTATTTATATGCTGGCACCTCCCCATACAGCTTCACCTGCTCACTCACAGCTGCCCCAGAAGTTTTCTGCAAGTTTTACATATATGGATTTACATAATAGATAGAAAAGATTTCAAATCTTTACACCTGGACTCTTTACCCCTTGAAAGCCCGCTAGCAGTAACCCTTAAAGCTCTTTTCTGTCATGTTTCAGGGCTGCTTATAGAACAAAATGACTGGGCGTACATCAGAAGTCAGGTCGTATCTGCCTGTGTAGCTACCTGGGAAAACCTGGAAACTGCCTGTTTGAACTATGAAATAAATGCCAGAAATTTTTAATTTTTTGAAAATGTAGAGTTTATTGAACAATCTGACAAAAGTTTTAATTTGTATCATTTGTCAAAAAAAACAAAACAAAAAGCAGAAACACTGACACTGACTAAAAAATCTCACAACAGCTGATGTATTAGATATGACACACGTCAGAAGGTGTGAAAACTGGTCATTAAGGGCAGAGGGGAGGTCGTTAAATCGTAACTTTCTGGGGGAAAGAGTTTGTACTTCAATAACACTTTAAGCGACGCTGCACAACCCCCTAAATTTGCTGCAAAACTCTGCAAAAGTTTGCATTTGGAGTTAAATCCATCACTGTGATGAGCACTTATGAAATGCTGTTTATTTGCCCGTGCAAGTGTAGTAGGTCATGAGGTAACGCATAAGGTGAGCGTTACCTTTAAATGTTGAGGTCGACACACAAACCTGGATTCAGATCCAAACCGCAGCTCAGTTTTTCCTCTATCGCTCAACGTGTTTTAAGGATAAGCCTCTAACTAGTGGACAAAAACTGACAACCAGCACAAAACTGGACTGAAAACAAGTTATTTTATAATATCACCTTGTTTGTGTAGCCACTGTTGCCTCAAGACATCTAATAATCATTCTTCATTCTATACTGAAGGGTCCAAAAACAACACGATGACACCAAACCTTGAATAAAAGTGATAAAATAGTCTGAGGGTGACACAATACTTTATCATTTTGTACATTTGAGACCCTAGCATGAAGGGGAGTGCGTTTGTCGCACGGTGGATATCTTATTTAAAACTGAAACAGAGTTACTCTGGAGTAGTCGTGCTCTCAGTGTTTACTCGAGTCTCTGGGATGAACCAAACAACTGAGAGAGTTTACAGTTTGTCTTGTATCCAAGCCAGGTCTGGCTGCGGTGAGATAAATTAAAGGATTTGATGTGTGTCTTGTCTTGATTACAGTATGTGTCTCATTCAGACATACACCCCACCTGCCTTTGTAAAGATCTTTATAACAGCGTCCGCGAAGCCTCGTGGACCCTCTGTATATTATTTATAGACGCTCTGTGATTGTGGAGCTGCTGACTCTGTTCTCAGTCCTGCTGGTGTTTCCTTTCTCGTCCTACAGGACTGATTATATTATCTCACCCTTATTCTAGTTTTCATATTGGTTATTGTGTCTGTGGTGCTTTTTGTGCTGTGATAAGCCGATATGATGCCAACAATGCTTTTATCTTTTCTATTTCTCTTGTAATAAAAAAGCTTTTTTCATGCATTTTTATGTCGTTTTTTATAGTGTTTCACCTTTTTTGTAGCTCATGTAAGAAAAAAGGTTATTTTCACAAGTAGTTTTATTACACCAAAAACATATTACAAAATGAGCTCCAGATGTATCTAAACTACATTATAGCGACCAGTCTGTCCTTTGATCTTGTTTCATACCACTTTAATTCAATCAAGACGTCATTCTCAAGGAGACTGAAATAAATTGAGGCAGACTTATTTTATATAATTAGCCTCATATGAGGAGAGGAAATGAGACACCAGAAGAAGGGGGGAAAAAGAAGGTAAACATACAGTCACAATAAAAAACAAAGTACAGAAATGATGTTGATACATAATAAAAAACAATCTGGTCCACAGAAGGTCTTAAAACTAGGTAAATCCAACGTTAATAAGAAAATAAAATATTTACAACACTATGCAGAAGAGTGTGAAAAAGTAAGTGCACCCATACTGCTGCTACATGAATTAAGAGGGTAAGTGGGGGCAGGTGCCGCTAATCAAATGCACCAATAGGCTGAACTCTATTCTGCTCAGTAATAATTTTATCTCTTTATAATCTTATTGGTGTGGTGTGGCCCCCCACAGCAGTCCCAGTTTTCTAATGGGGTAATTTTTAAGCCCATCCCTGTACTTAACTGAACATCAGCAAGTGTGAGCATCTCTATGAAAGTAGGGGTTCTCTTACTCTTCCAGAAAGGACAGACATTAGTGATAATCTTAAGAGGAAGGAACTGCTCTGGGAAGTCCATCATTCCACAGCAAGAATTTTGGCTTTTGTGTTTATTTTGTAAATAAATCATGACACTGTGCAGCATCTCATGTTGATGTTCATCTGGGATTGTATAAGTCATTTTAAGGTAAGGATTTTAGTAAGGATTCGATCATTTCTATTATATATTATATATAGGGTGCAATACTTTCCACGACTGCAGATCTATTATCAAGACGATTACCCTATTTTATTTTTTAAGTGGAATATATAAAACCACGCGTTAAAAGACCACGTTGTTTCCTTCGGATCTACCGTTGTAGTTCGTGCTAGTGCCGCCTCTGTCCGCCAGGGGGAGTCGCCTCTACACGCTCTGGTGCCAGAGCAGGTGTAGCGAGGTGAAGCATCGCGTGTGGCTCGGCTGTTTCCGTCACGGCTCGGCAGTGAACCGCTGTGGATGTGGGAATGCGGTTGCCGGAGGCTGTGGGCATTGCTGGACACTCGGCGGAGATGTACGCACGGGAGCAGGAGCCCACAGCGGCTGGCTG